CCAGCTCCTGAGATTCTGTGATTCTGTGATTGCTACAACAAATCATTGGGTTGGAGGCACCTAGAGGATATTTACCAATGTATTTACTACATCAGCAGAGATGTTTTAAAAAATAATAATAATAATTTTAAAAGCTCAAATATACTATTAGGTCAAGGTATTTTGTTGTGGTGTGGTTTTTTTTTAATTTCTATAGTTACACCACTTAATCAGATCTTTTAAACAGAATACCGATCATTAGAAAACTGAAGTGCGTTTGTTTATTTACAAGAAAAAAATAAGTTAAACCTTTTTACTAAAGGTTTCTAAAAAAAATTCTAAGGGATTTTTTACTCTTAAAGTATTTAGTCTGAAAGCTTCTTCCCAGCAGTTTTAATACTGAGTTTTACCAAATGTGATACAACTGTTTTAATGTGCTTTTCACAGAGTTCAGTACTGTTTGTATTTCTTTTTTTAGGTATACTTGGATCCCCTTCCCAAGAAGATTTGAATTGTATAATAAATTTAAAGGCCAGAAACTACTTGCTTTCCCTGCCACACAAAAATAAGGTACCATGGAACAGGCTGTTTCCAAATGCTGACCCCAAAGGTATTTTATGCTCTGTTACATTGTATCAGAAAGTAATGGCAGGGGGGGAATTATTCTGCTATTTATATTGGAAGAATAGAAATAAGTTAAAGAATAAAGAGAAATTCCCTAAGAATTTATCTCTATTTATATTGGAAATAGAACGTGCAAGTCCCTTAATACAGCAGTATAAATCTCATATAAAATCATAAAGCAGCATGAAACCCTCACACTTGCTTATCTTTTTAAGACAATTTTTAGTAACTCTGAGGTTACATGTTTTGAGGTTTGCTCTTTAACTTAGGTGTAAAACATAAATCCTAGCTCTTGTCATTGTCTCTAAAGCACGATGCATTACTCCTGTTCTGAACACCAGAGTTGGATTTTGACACTGGCATCAAACAGATCTTGAACTTTGTGTCTAAAACAGATACAAGATAGCCGCTTGTTGCTGAACTGAAGATAGTGTGTGCAGATGGCACGTCGGTTCTCGATCAAACAGGGTATCAGTCAGAGCGTGGGTCCTTAGGCAGCATGGAAGGGTAAAGTTTAGTGGGTTAAAAATGCAGTTACGAGCAGAGCATAAGTTATAAAAGCAAAGAATGTAATAACCATTGCCTTTCTTAACAAGGCTTTAGCAAAGGGTAAATACGGTTTTGTTTTGCTACATAGCTGTTAACTTGCCTTTTAAATTCTGCTCCGTGCCAGTCAAGGGTGGCTGTATTCACAGTACAGTGCTCTGTTACTTGCTCTGAAACAATTCATAAATCGTTTTTTTTTTTTAAACTGATCTGATAACTTACTCTTAGTGGATGTGATCAGGTACTGAAGTGCGGTGTAAAAGCTGATTTCTGCAGATGGAGCTGTGCAGAGCTGATTATCCTTACCATTGAGAGAAGCAGCAGTGATTTATTCTGCTTTTGGAATAGTGCTCATCAATGTGAGAATTTTACCGTGGGCTTCTGACAGCTCACGTTGTGGCAATGCTGATATGCTCAGCTGCTAGGGGAACGTGCCGTTTGCATGACTTCTGCATCACCTTTTCGGCTCCATCTTCAGAGTGGCTTTGACAGAGCAGTTTTTCAAAAAGCTGTCAATCAATTCAGTACAAAGCACTGTGCACGACGTGCTTGAACACGAAGTGAGCGTGTCAGCTTCCAGTGTTGAGAAAGCCGCATGGAAATATTTAATGTTAATTGCTGTGCAAGTTTGCAGACTTTCAAGCTGCCGTTGAATGCAGGGGCAAGGCCTATTTCTTCTGCAGGGCTTGGTGTGCATCTCATCCCGATGCAAAGCTACAGCTACTGCTGCAGCAGCAAGCCTCTGTTTAAGTTCTGTGTCGTAAATGATGCGGTGAGGAGAAGAAATGGAAAGGAATTTATGATACTGCAGATATCTTTGGGCTTCTTGCTGCTGTCATCATTCTGTTTTATTTTCTTGGAAAAGGAGAATGTGTTACAATCAAGGTAGCTGAACAACTGCAGTGACTCTGACTTGTAACATTTGCCCAGAATTTAATCAGGCCTCACTCTCTGTCTTGCTGAACCTTCAAGCTCTCTGTGGATTCCTTAAGAGTCGTCTTCAACAGATTGTGCCTGTATCTCATGAATATGAATGTATTTCCATCTTAGCTAGAGGTATCTTCTGGGCTGCTAGTTATGCTAGAACAGTTCACTGCGATGATCTGGAACTCCTAGTGACTTCTGGATGACGTTTTTGTCAGTAAACGGACGAGTTTTCTTTTCAGAATAAGAACATGTTCTTGATTACTTACTCATTTTGGAAAAGCTCTATCTTGGTTTGTGCCAAAAATCCACAGCATCGATTTGAGTGAAGAAAAAGCCTGATCTATTCAATTTCTGCTGAAGTTAAAACCAGATTGTACCACAGGGTTCCACTCGTTTCTTCCCTCGACGTTCATTCTGATGCTGAAGGGCCTTTGCCAGGGTGTACCTCCACTGGGCGAGTTGTAGCTGTAACCAGGGAACACGGCTGAGATGAGCAGGTGAAGACACTGCCCAACCTGAGGACACAATCTGCTGCTTGTGTTACTGCTCCTGCAGCTGGGGAGTTCTGACTGTAAATTGGAATTAACACACAACTTAGGGTAGCGTGTGTTTTCTGTGTTGTATCTGTGTTTATGACACTTCTGTACTTTGGAATGTGTATGAAACTTGCTTGCTTTTTGTTTTTTCCTCTTAGCACTTGATTTGTTGGATAAAATGTTGACCTTTAATCCTCATAAGCGGATTGAAGTGGAGCAAGCTTTAGCCCATCCATATCTGGAGCAGTATTACGATCCAAGTGATGAGGTAAAGGCACTGTTAAAATGTAAATGTTAATTAAATGATATAACGGGTTATTTTCTTCATTAGTTGAAGGACAGTGTTTCTACTGCTCTGATGGAGTTGAGGAATGAATGTGTCAATTTATGAAAATTTTTTATTTTCTTCTTCTAGTACACCACTTTTGGAGGTGAAACACAACCAACTGATGCTAAGGCGTAGTCTCCTGAAAATGGGACTTGCCAGCTCGCTATGGTTTTGTTTCATTATGTCTGAAATAGAGGAGGAGAATAACTGAGTTTGCCATCAGATTGTGTGTGTACAGCCCCTGAGGCTGAGCTCGCTGTATTTCAGGATACCATTCTGAGGAGATTTCAGGTTACTCTTGGTGAAGAAGTAGGGGAGGAGGAAACCAGCTAGTTTTTCATAAGGAACAGACACGCTTATTCCAAGAAATACAAATGTTTCAGATTTCTGTTTTCTTCAAGTAGATACTAAGTTATGAGCCTTTAACAAATAGTTGTGGTTTAGATTTGAGTAGCTACTTACTACTTGATTTAAAATTGGGTAGACTAACATATAAAGCTCACAATGGACAACAGAACAAGTTCTTCCTTGAAGACTGCACAGTATTGGACATCTTTGTGAAGCACACTTGCCGATTTTTTTCCGCATACTGGGACTACATGAAAGTCAACAGAACAGTAGTATTTTAAAAAGTAATCATATTTCTTTATCTCATTAAGCCTGTAGCTGAAGCACCCTTCAAGTTTGATATGGAGTTGGATGACTTGCCTAAGGAGAAGCTGAAAGAACTGATTTTTGAGGAAACTGCTAGATTCCAGCCCGGATATCGATCTTAAATCGTGCATAGGTAAAGTCACAGCAATACCATTCCACTTGGGCAGGGGGGAGAACTTTGAAACTGTGTTACCACTAGTGAAATGTAGAACTGACCTGTTGTGCTAATGCAGTGACCAGCTGTTATGGGATAGCTTTGACCTCAGTCCTGTTCTGCTGTTGAAGACACAACTTAGTTCTGCCTGCAACATTGAAGTGTCTACAAGGAATCCAGGCACTTGTCTGAGATGTAACATAAAAAATAGGCAAACATTTAAGGAATAAGAATTTAATTTAGATGTGCTTCTCAGCATATGAGCTATGGTAACACTTTTAAATGCAGATTTTATTTAAAAAAAATTTAAGGCGACAATGTTCTTCATATATTACAGGCTATTTTGTCATATGGCTTCAAATGCTTTTAAAACTGTTCTTCCTTAATGTAATGTACAGAGAAATCCCTGAAATTATTCTAAAGGGGAAAAATCCCATGAAGCTTTAGTACAATTTAACTTCAGTTTTAAGTACCTCTGAAATAGTGTAAGTAATAGGTATATACATTTTCATAAATTAGTTATGAAAATTATTAATCTCTTCAAGATTTAAAACTTTAATTTAAAATGTAATGTAATGATACTATCTCTGCCTTTTTTTTTTCTTTATTCATCGATTAACTGGTCTTCATACACCATGAGGCTTGCATGTGTCAGTAGTTTCATACAGAGCTGGTTGAATACCAACTTGAGTAACTTTTGTAAAATACTGCAATTGTAATAGATATTGTAATTTTTGTTAGGATCATAGAATCACAGAATGGTTGGGGTTGGAAGAGACCTTATCTTCAACCAATTCAGGTTGCTCAGAGCCCCATCCAGCCTGACCCTGAATGTTGCTAGGGCATCTACCACCACTATGGGCAACCTCTTCCACTGTCTCACCACCCTCATCGTGGCAAATTTGGTCCTTATACCCAGTCGTGTGAATCATTTGTGATACTAATAGTTTAAAGTATCAAAATTTTGTGACTGGAAAAGAAAGACAAACCAGAGATGACAGCCTGGATTGCCTGTTTGATCACCGTAGAAGTAGTTTCTGTGTGATTCGATTCTCCGTCGACTGCAGTATTCTGCAGTCACTGGTTTTTGTTGGCGGTTCCAGCAGAAAGGTTAAGTTTTGAGCCAGTGGACTTCCTCACTGCAAGAAATGCATTAAATAAATTAATTGTAAAAAGTTGAGATAAACTTACTTTAAGTAAAAAAACTATTTTTGAAACTTTTGTTGCCGCTGGCTTGAACAGTCAAATGTATGGAAGTTCACAGATGAAGTCATTCTGATCTTTAGAAAAGACTGTATTTTGTTTATTTAAGCTTACTAGCTAATATTTGAAACTGTTTTAATAATCATAAGTTAGGTAAATCTGAGGTTCACACATCTGGCTCTTCCTATTAGCTGGGCATTGCCAGTAGAATTAAACCTGGGCACAGTAAGATGCTTGGTGCTTATTTCCTGCCCGTGTTTTCTAAAGCTAATTCTATACAAGAGGCACTAGTAGTACCTGTACCCATTCTGGAAGAACATGACATACACTTTTAGGGGTAAGATGAAACCTGTTACTAATAGGCCTCCAACAGTATCAGAGGAAGGGAGACCAAATAGCTACCTTAGTGGTAAATCGTGGTTTGTCTGTCCTGCTTGCCTCTTTGCCCAGACCATGCTTACCTAGGCTGTATTAGGGATTAAGGGATAAAGGGATTTAGGGATAAAGATATCGGTGATCCGGCGCTAACAGAAATTTCTGGTTTGCTAAAAATGTTGCCTTTAAATGCTGCTATGAAGAGTTGATTTGGCTGACACGATACTGAAGTGAAAATACTGTACTCAGCTCGATAATTATATGCTGGTAATTTGTCCTGGTCATTTGGGGTTAGAATTATTAGCTGTTCTACATCACAACGGTTTAAACATAAGTAGTTGACATCCTAGTGAAGGCCAATCCCCGGGAGTTGGCTTAAAATGGACAGCAACGTCTCTCCTCCTTTGCATTTCTACTTCACCTGCACATGCCCTCTGGACGTGATCAGCTGGCTCTTTCAGGGTGTTATTTCTTGAGATTCAAAACTATCGTTTTTGAGAAGCAACATGAAAATAACAGATTCTTCAGATGACCAGACAAAATGTACTTCATTCCCTAGCTACGATTAAGCTTCCTAATCTTTTGAAGATTTAAAATTTTAACTTAATTTGTCATGTACTGCTATTCACTGTCTCAGACTTTATTTTTCCAGCATATATTGGTAGTGCTGTCTCTGACTCTTGGTAAACACAGTGTACGTAAGGCACATAAATAGGACAGTATGCTTGGTTTAGAGGGCCATGTTTAAACTTTCCTCACTGAATTATCTCTTTGCTCTTTTTTGTAGGACAAGGACTTAAAGGACTGGGCATGCTCAAACGTTGCTGTTCCTCTTCCCAGTTCTTTATTGTTGGTCATGTCTTGTGGCCTCTCTCAGCTTATCCACTAACTCCTTTGAGCCATTCAGGAGGGCAGTTCCTGGTAGTTTTGGCTTTTCATGCTTTCAATGAATCTTTTAAGCCTGAAGAATTGTAATTGACACTCCTATGCGTAATGCCCTTTGTTGACCTGTTGCAGTACTGTACTGTAAGTGCACCTACTGCTGGCCGTATTTTAACTGCTTGCTTTCTGGTTTGAAAGATGCAGTGGTTCCTTTCACTCCTGGATCAATATCCAAGAAGATAATTCATTAACCTGTAAGAAGTTTACACCATGAACTATGGTTTTCTGACTTTACTGAAGTCGCTGGCATTTTTTTTAGAAAAGCTACTATTCAGGGCACTTTAAGTCAGTGACATCCCAGATTTTTTTTGCACTTCCTTTTTAAATAGAAATGGTTAGCATCCAGCGGAGTTTATACCATTATGCTATGGATTACAGCATAAGTCGTGTTCACGTTAATCTTGCTTATGCACTTGTTTGGGTGTCCTGTGCTTTACATGCAGGTATTCTGTACAGCGTAAGAGCCGCATAGGAACCCAACTTAATTGAATTCATCCAAGAAACATTTTTACCATGTGTTGACAAAAATCGTACCTTTTTCTCCCTGCCTTTTCCAAAAGAGATCATTTAAAGTTTAACCATGTTGGAGGCGTAGTACTTCCAAAGTTCATACCACGTAGTAGTGTTTATAAGACTCGTGCAAAGAGAATGAGTGGCAGCTCGCCAGCTTATATTTACTCACCGTGTGGTGGAAGATTAACAAAGAACATAATGGCATGATGAGCTAATGGTGAATGCTTTTCTCTGTGGAAGGCATCCATGTGTGGTGGCAAGCGAGAAACCAAAATATTCTGTTAATAAACTCAGTCTACGTACTGCATACCAATGAAACGCTTCAAATAAGGATCGATAGTTTTTGCATTTGATTCTAATCACTGACGTTCAGGATTCTTGCAGAGAGGAACACTGCATCTTTAAATGAGAAAGTTTGATTTTACTTTTGCTCCTACAGCATGTCAGCATCTCAAGTTCATTTCTTGCAGCCTACACTATGGTGATTTGTAATCAAGCCTCCATGAGCTCGTGACATGAAGTACTGTTCTGTTGTCAAGTACTATCAAACTTTTCTGATAATGCTGAGTTAGGACAACCAAACAAAGCTAGCACTAAATAATGTTTAAAATTGTATACCTTTTAATGATCTTTTCAAGTATTTGTTACTGAAATTGTATAACGTGGAGTTTACTAGGTGTTATGTTCCAGTGCAGTGCCTCCTTTTCTTTCCCCACTGCTCTCTGTGGTGAGAAATTTGCCTTGTTTAAAATAATTACTGTGCCCTCGCATGACTGTTAAAGCTTTCTGTGCAAAGATGATTGTCTAAGTGCCACATGCCTATGATTGAGAAAAAAAATAATCTATTGTTACCTCTGAGTTGTGTTCAACTGAAATGCTATTCAACAAATAACTTAGGAAAAATAGTTCTATTTTTAGCTTTTCATATCTCTGCTGTCTTTTTCTCATTTTATTTTGGCAGCAGTGAAGAATGGATTGTATAAAGACTGCTTGCTAATATGAACAAAATGCACTTGTAATTCCTGGAAATAAATTTAAATCTTATATCTTCACATTAACATTAAGAAATAGTTTTTGGTTTCCTCTTGGGTAACGTGTTTGAATGGAAATCAGGTTCAATTGCTACTGTAGTAGATAAGGATGCTTGCTGGTTAATAACGCCAGGCTTCCTCATACCATTTAGTCTGCTCTTCAAAGAAACCTAGAAAGCCATTAACTTAGACTTCAATAGATAAGGGTGCTTACAAGATTCCATTTCAAGATTTTCTTTCTCCTCTAGTTTAAGTGTTAGTCCACCGAAACGAATTTTTAAGAAGCAAGGGTTCATCATTAAAGGGCATTTTCTATTAGGAAGTTCCTGTGGTACATGAATCTCTGTTGCGGGGAACATATTAGGAGCATTGTCAGGACACTGCACAAGCGATCACTGAACGGTGGTGTGGAAACTATGCTAAAAACATTTCTACGGAAATATGCACTTGACTGTTGATACTAGTGTAGAAATTTCTCCTGAGGTTTCTACACATCTTTACCAAAATGCTTTTCTCACTCAGTTTTGAGAAGTCGAAATATTTCTAGAATCTCTGCTACCTGTACGATCATCATTACTGCAGGAGTCATTTCTGGCATGGTTGGAAAGATGACTGTTACTGAAATTAGTTTGTAACACCTCAGTTCTAATTTATTAAGGAAGATCTTTGGCAGCTTACTCCACCCTTCTCTTTCCCAGTTCTTTTTTTTTTAATACTTCCTTTCATTTTGGATTTTTGGGGAGGTGTAGACTTTACCCTGATGTTCTCTCTCTCCGAATAAAAAGCTGAGGGTTTGCTTTACCTGACATCTGGTGCTTTCGGGCTTTCTTCCTTACCTACTCTTGCTGAATCCAATTGGCATCCATCAGCATCAGTAACCACGTTCATCAGTCCTTTACTGCATTCAGTAAACGCCGTTGGGTTGAATTTGGTGATGCGTTAAATGCAGAAACATGGTATTTTTCTGTCAGATTCTGAAAACAGTTCAAAAGAAGGTGCCTATAACAACACTGTGTTAGGTCAGTTATTTTGTCATCTTACATTAATTTTTTTCCCCTTTTATGTAGTTTTTTTTATATTTTAGAGCAGAGAACAGCAACTCTTAATCAAAGTAACAGGCATATTTCATGGTAAAGATGTTTTGAGAATAAGGAATGTAAACAGTTCACTGTCGAAAACATTCCAACCTTACAGCTGAAGAAAAATATGCAAACATGGGATTCTCGTGGATGCTTTGGCAAATAAGCATCTGACTCTGCTGTCCTGACCGTCACCAGACTCTTCCTCATCAGCATCACACGTTCCACCCCATCTGAAGCGTACAACGCGCTGCCTGGGCTGAGCCGTGCGGTGTTGGAGCTTCGGGAGCAGCAGTGGTGACGACTCGGCAGTGGCCACATGAAACCCAAGGAGCTGAGCATGGTTTTCCTTACGGAATGAGAAAAAGAAAAACCTGTTGTTGCTGCCCACTGTAATATGCTACGATATATTTATACCATGTCCAGGTTGTTTGCTGAGCAACTGTACTATAGATTTAAACTTTATTAATATATATTTGCTTACGTTAGTGTAGTTTATATAGTCCTGGGTTATTGATAAATTTATTGTGTTGTTACAGCACAGTGATATGGTATAAATATAGGTCTCTACATACACACCATATACTCATGAATTTGGTCCCTTGCATAGTACTTTTATATTTGTACAGCAATGTCTTCAAGCAATCCCAGATTTTAGGGGAAATATTTTTGTAAATGCAGTGGTTTAAACGAGAAAAAAAAAAAAAAAAAAGTCCAAACAATCCTTTTACTAAGTTTTAAATACATTTGTGGTTCAAAATGGTTTAGTTACCGATTTAAATCAAGACACTAAATTAGTGAAAAGTGCACATTAGTAAAGTGAAGCTTACAATGGTCTTTGTAGCATGTGCTGTTATCAAACTAAGTGAAACATTGGAGGAAGTGTAAAAGTCGGACTACCTTTGTAAATCTAGAACAAATTGCTAAAGGTTGCAGCTGGTTTACTTACTATTGTTGCCTTTTCTTGTGTTGTATCAGTGTAGAGCACTCTTAAAATACTCAAACTGCTTTGTCTTTGCTTTGTACTGTTGGTGCCTTCTTAGTCACGTACCCCACAAGTCCTGCATAGCTAATTTAGTTAATGGTAAGTTTAAAATAAAGCAAAGGAAGATTTTATAAAAAAATAAATAAAGAAATCATTTTCTGTAAGTTCTTATTCATTGTAACAATTAAACGTTTATATTGTGACAGATTTGTGATTTGGTTAATCTGTATAGATCAGTTGTAAGTAGCAAAGGTTTATATTTCGTCTTATTCTTTTGATGTTGTAAACGTATGTGACTTTTTTTTTTTTTTTTAAAATCAGGTAACTTAATGTTCTGTTTTGTTTTTGGCATCTGAATCTTGTAAAAACAAATGCAAAGAAAATCATTAAATTGTGTCCCTGTATTACCAAATCAGCATAGTACTGTGCATGTATAGAGTGGCTGGAAGTTTGCTCTACAACGAAGTGCTGTTGTGTAGACCGTGAGCACACGGGTGTGTATTACCTTAGCTTAGCTAGAAACGACTGTCACTGGAACACACAGGCAGTAGTGAGTAGCCTACATTTAATAGCTGTAAATACTCACGTGTGCTTGTTCTGCTGTATTATTATACCAGCTTGAAATTATATTGGGGAAGCCAGCGAAAAACCCACAGGTGAAGTTTCTTTATAGACAGGCAGAAGTGTTTTATCTTTGGGACAGGAAAGGTACGAAATGGTCGGTGTTTAGAACTGTCGAGCACAGAGGAATGCAGACAGATTCCAGCGTATCTGAGGATGCAGAGGCTTTTTGCCGCTCTTTATACTGATACTCATACAGCTATTGCCCTGTTCCCATGAGATCTTGAAAAGAATTACTTGAGGAATCCTTAGAGACCAAACGTCTTCATTTCACTAAAAAATAAGGTTTTTCTCAGGCCAAAGAACCTGAGGGTTTGAAACCTTTCAGGTTTCAAAAGTTTGAACCGAGTGACTTCAGGGAGCAGTGCAGGTCAGCTTACATCACTAATGGGCTTTTCATTATTTTTTTAATTATTTTTTCTTTTTTAGCCTAAAATAAAACTGTGCCAAATCTGAACTCTTAAAACATGTAGTTGGATAATAACGGCTGGAAACTTCACTATAATACAAAAACAGAAAATGTGACCTGAAACTAAAGAGAGCTTAGCCATAACGGACAGGTCTGTAACAACTCCGAGAACTGGCTGGCCACAATTCCTCTCTCTATCCCTTCCTTGGCTTTCACAGCAGAGTATGTAATTTTTTCCAGAATATTATAGAATTTCACCTTTGCTGTAGATGGGTTGATGTGTGTTCCTGCTGCTTTGTTGACTGTAGCTGTCTCTTGCTTGCTTTGTTCCCTGTAGCTGTATTCCCAGTAGCAGGTGCTTCAGTGAGTTACTTCAAGGTATGACTACACTGCAGCTTGTCTCAGTGAAGGTTTTGACAAGCTACTGATTTCACTTTGACAAGCTATTGACTTAACACTTGCAATCCTTGTGTAAGTAGGGTTAGTTTGAAATATCATGCATATTTCCTTAATTTCACCAAAGTTGGACACTGATCCTCTCCATCTGTAAGCTACCAGTACAATGGGCAATCTTAAACTGCTGGAGTCAAGGACTGTAGAGATGGGTGCTCGGCTGTGGGCTTGTGGTCTGTGTGGGCTGGCTTGGTCAGTGAGAGCCTCTGGAGCTGGGCTGCCTGTGCTGGGGGAAGTGGTGCACTCAAATACTCACGAGGCTTGTGAGGAACTCCTGAGGACAAGCCCTGTTTACTCAAAGAGATGCCAGCTTTGATGGCATTGAGCTTTGTAGAGCTCTGATCCCAGGACTTTGCAGACCAAAGATGCCAGCTTCTGTGTTTTGTAGGTTTCATTTTCAGTTATTTCTACTAAATTGCATATATGTAACAGTGGACAGGCTTAAAAAATAAGAAAAACATTTGAGGCAGGTAGAAGACTTAAAAACTTCATCATGTCAACGCACCCCATGTCTGCCGATGGTTACCTTGCTGTGATGTGTCTTTTAACCACACACAAAACTTCAGCTGCTTCAGAAGAGTCCTAGGGCTTGAACTCGAGTTCCAGAGGAGGCTTTGATGAGTCTGCAAAACAGCCTCCTGGTGCTGTGCCAGGAGCTAGAGGTTTCACATCCACCGTCAGAAGTGTGGCCACACTCGTGCAGTGTTCACGTGAAGGCTGATCTTGGGAGTTAGATACGAGAACTGTTCTGTAACCCCTCTATCTTTCCCCTGTATAAATTACTCACTGATGACTTTCCTTCTGGTGTTTTCCAGAACTCCGTCTCTTTTATTTTAGTACATCTCGCTATTGACAACTTCCTTTTCTCTTTGTCGTCTTATTCAAAGTGAGTCTAATCAAGTCCCAGTTGTTCTAAAAAATCTTTCCTTATAGGATTCGTGAGCTTTCTGATGGTAAACAATAGATTGTGATCCTGGTAGTTAAACTGATGTAAATCCAGTGAAGAGGTAAGCAAGAAAGCTGTGGAAGGTCTCCTGAGCCTCTTCCTGTTGGAAGCACAGCTTGTGGTCTGGTCCTGTATGTGGATTTCTGTGAAGGCAATATAAAAAAGGACATAAGGAACAGAAAAGAACAGCACGTTTGGCTAACGTGTGGCGTGAAACCCAGTCCCACGGTTTCTTTGTTGCTGCTGGGGACTTCCAGCTGAAGTCCAACAGTCCCTGGTTCAACCTTTTCTCTTTTTGACTAATCTTCAAGTATTGGCTGAATACTCAATGCTTCCTGCTTCCCTAATACTGCCTCTCATCTTCCTCTCAACATGCACAGACAGAGCCCATTTTCCTTAAGTTCCTTCCCTTTCCATCCAATTAAATCTGTGTTCCTTCTGGCTTTTCATTTTACTTGGTACAGAGGCAGCTTATGTTTATAAATGGGAGCTGAAAAAAAGGAGCCCTATTCTATTTCTGATTTCCCAGAAAAGAGCAAGAAATACCTTGACAGCATGTTGGGCTTGCAGCATGTTCTCATCTAAAAATACGGCGTTAAAAAATACTTTCATTTCTCTTGAGTCTTTCTGTGAGTGTGCGACACTCAGCTGTACCACCTTGTCACTCCTCCATGTCCCCTTCCACTGCTGCTTGGGCTGGGCTGACCTCCGAGCTTGCCCAGTTGCTGTCTTCCTTCTCTTCCTCAGGGTTTCACGCTGTCCATGTCGGTGTTTTTCTCCAGTGCTTTGACTTGACGACTTCACTTCTTTGTTCTTACTTTTCTTTCTCTGGCGTGGCAGCAGGTTTCCTGCAGTCTCACTGCTCAACTTTGGTCTGCTTTTTGTACATTTTTTCCTGCTGTAAAGCTGAGCCATGGCCACAGCTGCTGGCTTTTTGGAGCACACGGACGTAGGGCAGAGCGGGTCCTCTCCTGCCGCCGGTCCCTGCAGCGCCTGGGATGGCGCCGACGGCG